ATGCTGGATAAGTTGGCGGTTCATTCCGCTGTGGTTACCCCTGATAAATAAGGGACTAAAGGCTCATTTATACTTCTGCGTCAAGCGCAGGCACGGCCTACACATGGACGCATAGCCCTCGCCGTGGCTGTCGCTGACTGGCTCTTCTCAAAAAAATGTAAATACATGTCGCAACGACGCATAGTGCAAGCTCTGTGATTGGTTGGCTTGGTATCGCTGACGAGTGTGGGCGGGACCGAAAGCCGCGCGAGTGTTTACAAGTCTGGAGTCTCCTGAAAGTTTTGTTTTGTGTTTACGCAGGGCTGGCGCGTCCATAGAGGCGACCTAGGTGGCCGCCTAGGGTGGCAGAAAATAGAGGGCGGCGTCCACGACCCCCCCACCCCCTCCTCACTTTTATCTGGGACAAACCCCCCGGTCTTCACTTTCATCCGTGACAAACTGCCCCCCTGCCCCTCTTCTTCACTTTGCTAACCAGTCACTTTCGTTTTCACTCTTGGGTTGAGGGCGGCGTGATCGTCCTTTGCCTAGAGCTGCAGTTCAGCTTGCTCCGGCCCTGTGTTTACCTCGTGGTTAAATTTGTTGCACGTCCGCCGGTTCCTGCTTTAAAAGGAGCGAGTTTGAGCCACGTGTACTTTAAGAAAGCGTTCAGAAAAAACAAAACACCAGCGAAGAAACTCGACACAGAGAAACATAAACACCTCACTGCCAACTAGTGTTTCAGAAGTGTTATTGCAGAGCAAAAGAAACAGCGCGCAGAAGTATGAATGCACAGCTACGGGCATTGCATATGCTGTGGGTCACGCCGATCACTGGACGCAGACGTGTAAACCAGGCTTAAACCGAAGGAAAATGAATGTTCTGGTTGGAGGTGCAGGTCATTCAGCACAGTCTGCTTTCGTTTGATAGTAAATGAACGCGTTCATAGCTGTAAAACTCTATGGTTTGGATAAAGTGCAAAATTTAGTGGTGATCCCATTCCCGAAATGTCAAAGCTGTTTGAGCAACTTCAGACTGCAGCTTAGGAAGCCATGTCAGGAAATGAGAGCTCATGTAATAAGAGCGTTTGTTTTCCTTCAGCCAGAGGGAAGTTTGTGTCGCAACTGGAGTTTCTTACCCTCCGTCCAACCTACAATTTCAGCAGGAATTACACTGAGACTCGAGGCCAGGTCTCCTCCCCAGCCCAGTGTTTGTGTGGTTTTCTCTATTCTTGCATTGTTCAGACGAGCTTTAAGACTCATCCGTCTTCCTCACTTGCTCTTTTCGCCCGTCTTTTGCTGTTTTTGATCTGTGTTTTTAATCGCTGGCTTTCAGTCCGGGCAGCTGGAAAAGTTTAAGCAGGACTCGGCTCTTAAATAAACAACACCTTTGGGGATACAGGCCTCGATTCCGGTAAACGTCTGGCCTTTGCACAAAAGCCAACTTTCCTTTGTAGGAACGAGAGAAGCCAACACCGTCGTCTCTGTCTCCATTCGTACATCCCTCCATCTGTCTTCATTCTCCTGACACCATTTTATTCAAGAGTCTTTTCTGTGCTGCATTAAATGTATAAATGTACAGCTGAAGTCAGAATTATTCACATTTCACAAATATTTCTCAAGTGATATTTAATGGAGCAACGAATTTCTCACAGTATCTCCTATAATGTTTTTTCTTCTGGAGAAAGTCTTATTTGTTTTATTTCGGCTAGAATAAAAGCAGTTTTTAATTTTTTAAAGCCATTTAAGGTCAATATTATTAGCCCGCTTAAGCTGTATTTGTTTTAGATAGTCTACAGAACAAACCACTGTTATATAAGGACTTGCCTAATTACCCTAACTTTACCTTAATTAACCTAGTTAAGCCTTTAAATGTCACTTTAAGCTGAATACTAGTGTCTTGAAGAATATCTAGTCAAATATCATGTGCTGCCATCATGGGAAAGATAAAAGAAATCAGTTATAATTAGTTTTCCTGGTTGGGAACAGGGAAAATGTCAAGATTTAAACCATAAAATCATCAATAAAAAGTACAAATTTTTTATTATTATTTTTTACAAATAATTAAAAAAAAATTCCAACAGAAAAAAAATACTAAATGTGACCTCCTCCCCACAGGGAATACCAGCAACAATCAAGAATGCATGATTATATGCTGTCATAGCTTAGCAATCGAATAAATGTGATTATAATGGAAGCCAATGGGGCAAAAACAGCCCCCAACATAATGAAAGGCTAGTCAATTTTTTAAATAATTTTTTTTTTCAATTCCAAAGCATTTTCCCAAAATATGTGTCAAAATAAGATTTATCATCGAAAATCATTCCATTTGCTGAAACGCAGAGAAAGATGTGGCCAAATTAACGCTCAAAATCAGCCCGGAGTGGATGAAAACGACCCTACAGCAACAGTTAATCAAACCAACCTGTCAAATATGAACACACCCTTTGACTCCAACAAATAAGAGCTCTACAATAAGATGAGGGCTTTTTTTAAAAGAACAAAGCGAATACTAAGAATGGAATGCTTTCATTTATTAATGTGCAAATAAATGCATGTAAATGGACTGCTGCTTCTTCAGAGGAAAGTGTTCCACCGAGTGTCCACATAGTGTGCAGTGTTTGATGATGTTTTAAAGCACTTCTAATAATACTGTGACCTCAAATCCATGTTTCTCTTTTTCTACAATGATGCTCTTTCTTTTTGAAACAGCTGAGTCGGGAGTATTCGGAGGCATGTGCGCATGGTACACAATTTCCAAAAATGTTGTTTTAACAGCTGCGATCACTGTGGCGAATCCCCCCCAAATACACCCCATTCTGACCTTAAACTGTCAAATATCTCAAAGAATCTGAACCGCTCCTCCTTTAACCCCATAAATACATCTTACGACTTCATCAGTTGTGTAAATAAAAAATCTACAAATACTCAACTTTCTGCAATTGGCTGGTATTTCTTAGGAATTGTACATTAGTAATTACCCTCAAAATGACCTTTTCTGCTTGTTTACACTACTTATTTAAAACGAGTTGAAACAACACATTTCTTAAGGTTGTTTTGGGGGGCAAATTGACTCCCCTTTGGTTGTGTTGGTGGCTGTTTTTGCCCTTATTGACATCCATCATAATGACATTTATTGATTGCAAAGCTATGATTGCATGATTGCCAATGATTGTTGCTGGTTTTGCCTATTGGGAAGAGGTAATTTTACTGTTGAAAATTACTGTTGAAAATTAACAACATTTGTTCAGTAATTTTTATTGTTAATTTGTATTGTTAAAATCAGTAAATGTCACCTCTTTTTCACAACAGGGAAAACCAAAAACAATCAATAATGCATGATTATATGCTGTCATGCCTTTGCAATCAAAAATGTGAATATAACGGAAGTCAATGGGGCAAAAACAGCCTCCAACATAACCAAAGGGGAGTCAATTTAAACAATACACATGGGTTAAAATGAAATCATGTGTGTATTTAAAAGTGTGAACCTTCGTAAAAAATGTGGCTCACTTATTGAATAAATTCTGCTTTGACTGAAAGATGAATGTTAAGGGCGTCACACACCGGATGCACCGCGTGACACGGCACGCACATGACAGTTGAACACACACCAGACGCGCACATTCACATGCTATTTAAAATGAAACTATTTAGATGGTGCTCTGTGGCGTGGCAGAAATATGAACAGTGTCCTGAGTCGGGGCTGGGCGCCGCGGAGTGTGTACACTGCTAGAAACTTATGTTTAGAATTCTAAAATGCATGGCGCTGTGTGGCTGAGCTTAAGCATGCCAAATGAAAAGAAGTGGGCGGGGCATGTCAGATGTCATGACCAACTAAAGTATGCAACCCAGGCTCATTCTGGAAATGTAGCCCCACGGACGTTTCTGGAGACCGCGAAATACGTCCCGGGAGGTACATATTTGTGCCGTTTTTGTTTTCGCAAATCTGCGAGAGGCTGCTGTGCACGCTTTTTCGTGTCTCGAACTCCTCTCGTGAGCGCGCTGTTCTCTCGTAAAAAGCCGCCGGAGGGCGCTGTCGAGCGACCGTCTGTCCGACTGACCAGCTGGCTGAATGACTGAATGATTGACTGGGCGGCCGGCCAATCGACTGACCCGGCCGCCTTCCTCCTCCTCCTTCTTCCCTAAAACCAAGCAACGATTTACAAAAGCCGTCCAGAAAAAGAAAAGCCTTCGTCTGATTTTGACCTCGTTTTCGGATTTCGCCGCATTCTCGCCCAGTTACGAACTCATTTACTTAATTTTTTGGATTCTGTTTTTTGTCTTACTTGATTTCTGGAACCGCTCTTCCCCGGACTCGAACCCGGCCTCGAATGCTGCCCGGCTCCTCCTCCGGGCCTCCGCTCCGCCGACGTAACACAACGAGCTAACCGGACAAACTGGTTGCAGCAGGAAAGCCTTCAACACATAGGAGGCGAGTCGTCAGCCCAGCCGGCGAGTGCGAAGAGGAGCGGCGCCCCGCAACGTTCACTTGAAAAAACCAAATACGGCCATACGTACCTCCGGCCACGTAAATCACGGTCTCCAGAAACGTTCGCGGGACTACGTTTTCAGAATGAGCTTGGGTTGAAAGTATGAGGTGACGTGAATAAAATCGTTGATCCATTTAGACCAGGGGTGTCCAAACGGTCCTGGGGGCTCCAACACACCTGCCAGGAAGTTTCTAGTATATCTAGTAAGAAGTTGATTAGCTGGTTCAGGTGTTGGAGCTAAACTCTTCAGGACACCGGCTCTCCAGGACTGTTTGGACACTCCTGATTTAGATGGAAGTGACACTACAAGCTTTACATGTTTATATCAGTTTTAAATCCCCTAAACGTAAATTTTGTCACTGTTTTGGAGCGCACTAGCTTATAGATAACCTTAAAACAATGCTGATACTAACATCTAAAAAATGTACTTTAATTTCATGGGACCTCTAATGCGCTGGATTGTACTGGAACAGGACAAGGGAGAACACATCATTTCTGTGTTTTGCCAATATTTCTCTTTCATGTTTTACAGATGTAGAGCAGATGGCCATCGACTGGCTTACGGGAAACTTCTACTTTGTTGATGACGTGGATGATCGAATCTTTGTATGCGATAAAGATGGAGCCACATGTGTGACACTGCTGGACCAAGAGCTCTACAACCCCAAAGGCATCGCTCTGGACCCGACTATGGGGTGGGAACATGGTTAAACTCACACTTCCTCATGTGTTCAACTATCAAGCTTAATATTAGTCCATTTAAAAAAAGGGGTGTATTTACTAACTTGTCAAACGAGGTGTGAGTGTGTAGCAGTTACTGACCTCTGTCTCAACATTATCTTCAACAGGAAGGTTTTCTTCACTGATTATGGGCAGATCCCGAAGGTGGAACGCTGTGACATGGATGGACAGAACCGGACAAAGTTGGTGGACAGTAAAATAGTTTTCCCGCATGGAATCACCCTGGATTTGGTCAACAGGCTGGTCTACTGGGCCGATGCTTATCTGGACTACATCGAGGTTGTGGACTATGAGGGCAAAAACAGACACACCATCATTCAAGGACTGTTGGTAAGGAGCAAATATCAAGAGTAAATGTTTAATAATGGGCGCTCAGTCCATTTTCTGTGATGTCAGTTCAAGGTTTATTTATAGAGCACACTTTAAAACATGTACTAAAGTGCTGGACACTTGAGAAATTCAGCGCAATTCATTCATTCATCCATCCATCCATCTACCCATTCTCTCATTATATCCACCTAAACGTATATTTATAACCCATCCTAGTGTCCTTCAATCCAAATGCCCATCTGTCCATTCATCCATCTGTCCAAATTTCCAATTCATTCATCCATCCAATAATGCAAATGTCCATCCATATATCCATCCATCCACCCTACCATCAAAGAGTCCATCCATCCATCCATCCATCCATCCATCCATCCATCCATCCATCCATCTGACAATCCATCCATCCATCTGTCAATTCATCCATCCATTCACCCTAATGTCAAACAGTCCATCCATCCATACAATCTAATGTCCATCACCTACCCATCCTTCCATCCATCCTTCCATCCATCCACCCTACTGTCCAACAGTCCATCTATCCATCCACCCACCCATCCATCCATCATCCATCAGTTTACCCTAATATCCAACAGTCCATCCATTCATCCATCCACGCTAACATGCAACAGTCATCCATCGGTCTATCCATCCATCCATCCAGCCCTCCACACATCTATTTATATAGCCATTTATCCATCCATTCATCCATATATCCATCCACCCTAATGTCCAACCTACCCATCCATTCATCCATTCATCCTTCACTCTATCCATCCATCCATCCATCCATCCATCCATCCATCCATCCATCCATATATCCATTCACCCTAATGTCCAACTCACCCATCCATTCATCCATTCATCCTTCGTTCTATCCCTCCATCCATCCATATATCCATCCACCTTAATGTCCAACTCACCCATCCATTCATCCATTCATCCTTCGCTCTATCCATCCATCCATCCATCCATATATCCATTCACCCTAATGTCCAACTCACCCATCCATTCATCCATTCATCCTTCGCTCTATCCCTCCATCCATCCATCCATACATCCATCCACCCTAATGTCCAACCCACCCATCCATTCATCCATTCATCCTTCGCTCTATCCATCCATCCATCCATCCATATATCCATTCACCCTAATGTCCAACCCACCCATCCATTCATCCATTCATCCTTTGCTCTATCCATCCATCCATCCATCCATCCATATATCCATTCACCCTAATGTCCAACCCACCCATCCATTCATCCATTCATCCTTCGCTCTATCCCTCCATCCATCCATATATCCATCCACCCTAATGTCCAACCCACCCATCTATCCATCCATCCATCCATCCATTCATCCTTCGCTCTATCCATCCATTCATCCATCCATCCATCCTACTGTCTAACAGTCCATCCATCCATCCATCCATCCATCCATCATTCATCCATCCATCCATCCATCATTCATTAATTTACCCTAATGTCCAACAGTCCATCCATTCATCCATCCACGCTAACATCCAACAGTCATCCATCCATCGATTCATCCATCTATCCATCCATCCATTCATCTATCCATCAATCAGTGCAAATGTTTATCCATCCATCCATCCATCCATCATCCATCCACCATCAATCCATCCACCCTAATGTCCATCCATCCATTCATCCATTATTGTAAAAGTCCATCCATTTATCCATACATTCTAATGCCCATCACCCATCCATCCATCCATTCATCCATCTACTCTAACGTCCAACAGTCCATCCCTCCATCCACCCCATACTCCAGAAGTTCATCCATCCATCTATCCATCCCTCCATCATAACATACATCCCTCATCCATTCATCCACCAATATCTATCCACCATCGTCCTTCTATTCATCCTGACACCCGCTTGCTAATTCACCCGTCCATCTTCTCATATTTCATTGGTGTGTTTATCCTCATCATCAGCTGACATCACAGATTGAGCTCAGTGTAGTGTTGTGCGGGTGTCGTACAGCAGCCAGCATTGTTTACAGTGACGGATGCTTCAGTGAACAGCAGAGACAGTGGTGTTTCATTAGTGCTGCTGACTCATTTTATTAAAGCTGTTTGTGTTAATGCATTAGCCTGATTCCTTCCTCCGGGCTTGAGTTATGGATATCATTTATCCGCTAATCGCTGTGTTTATGTGTGTCTTCCTCACTCAGGCCAACAGAGGAAACACAACTTTGCAGATAATGCAGCTAATTGAATAACAAACCCGTGTCTCCCCTCAGATTGAGCATCTTTATGGGCTCACAGTGTTTGAGAACTACCTATACGCCACAAACTCAGACAATGCCAACATGCAGCCGAAGACCAGTGTGATCCGCGTCAACCGATTCAACAGCTCGGATTATCAGGTGGTCACTCGAGTGGACAAAGGTGGAGCTCTGCATGTTTACCACCAGAGACGGCAGCCGCCAGGTATGAAGCCCTTCTCATTTTCTGCTGTTGAGCACATACAGTTGAAGTCTGAGTTATTCGCCCAGATGAATTATTTGAACAGATTCAGGAATTTTTCACAGTATTTCCTTTCAAGAGTTCACACTTAGCTGATAATCAATAAAGCGTATTTGGCATGCTGTCCTGGGAGAGACCCCTGAGCTCGTAATATCCTCGAGCCCGGGGCTCCCTCCCATTAGAAGGGCGAGAAGGGAGTTCGAGGTTGGGTAGGTCTCGAGAACGCCCCCTGCTTGTCACCGTGAGAAGTGTAAACTAAGGTTGTATTGGGTGATAACTTGTTTTAGTGGATTTGCTATAGTTTTTGGACGGTGGGAGGAAACCGGTGAACCCAGGGGAAAACCCACGCGAACACGGGGAGAACATGTAAACTCCGCACAGAAACACCAACCGGCCCGAAAGGTTGGACCGGCGGTGTTCTTGCTGTGAGGCAACAGTGCTAGCCGCTGGGCCACCGTGTCGCCCGATCAGAAAAAAAGTGGGAGGATGTAGGGGTGGAAAGGGGGAGGGGGGCTTCAAGACGAAGATAACTGGAGTGAAAAACTCAGATTATTTATAATGCTTCCGCAATCATCTAATAGGGCTGATTACGGGGCTAATAAGGAGCCAGCCGTGTTGATTATAAGCACATGAGCCTCTCGAAATTAGTTTATGAATAAACCGCACATAATATTTGTTCTTCTGGAGAAAGTGATTTGTTTTATTTCGGCTAGAATAAAAGCAGATTTTAATTTTTAAAAAAACATTTTAAGGTCAATATTATTAGCCTCTTTACGCAATATTAGTGTTGGATTGTCTCCAGAACAAACCACTGTTATACAATGACTTGCCTAATTACCCTAACTTCACCCTAATTATCATAAATGCTTTATTTACTTTGCGTTTCTAGTCCAAATATCAAAACAACTCTTAAATCAAGAAGCAATTTTAAGACAAGTTAAAAAAATATTGATTTGTTTTGAGAGAAAAGTACAAATAAATTGAGTTTCTCTTTAAAACAAGCTAAATAATCTGCTAGTGGGTTAAATAAAATAGTTTAAAAACAGACGTATTTTGTGTACACGACTGGCCCATTATTTAATATTGCTTCATTTCGAAAGTTGTTTTATTTCTGAAAACAAGACAACATTTTTTTTATTTCATCGCGGTGGAATAATCCAGATTTAAAAATAAATTTTTAACAAACAAATTTAAAAATAAATATTTTCCCAATATTTATTGTTTTTTTTTTAAATCTCAAAATTACAATAAAATATTTATTAAATACAAAAAAATATTTTCCCAATATTTATTGTTATTTTTTTTTTTAAATCTCAAAATTACAATAAAATATTTATTAAATACAAAAAAATGTGTTGAGATATTCATATTTATTATATTAATATATACAATTGAAGTCAAAATTCTAAGCCCCACTTAATTATTAGCCGCCCTTTAAATTTCTGTATAAATCTGTTTGTTTTCAGCACATTTCTAATCATAATAGTTTTAATAACTCATTTCTAATAACTGATTTATTTTCCCTTTGCCATGTTGACAGCATATAATATTAGACTAGATATTCTTCAAGACACTAGTATTCAGTTTAAAGTGACATTTAAAGGCTTCACTAGGGTAATTAGGGTAACTAGGCAGGTTAGGATAATTAGGCAAGTCATAGTATAACGATAGTTTGTTCTGTAGACTATTGATAAAAATATACAGCTTAAAGGGGCTAATAATATTGACCTTATAAAGGGTTTTAAAAAATTAAAAACTGCTTTTATTCTAGCCGAAATAAAACAAATAAGACTTTCTCCAGAAGAAAAAATATTTTAGGAAATACTGTGAAAACTTCCTTGCTCTGTTAAACATCATTTGGGAAATATTTAAAAAAGAAAACAAATTCAAAGGGGGCGAATAATTCTGACTTCAGCTGTGTGTATTTGAATATTTTTAATTGTAAATTGGGAGAAAGATTCTTAGACCCATATAGAATAAGTCAAATATTTCTTTTTCACTCAAAAACACATCTAATAAAGTCAGTAAATCCAGAGAAATAATCAAGTGGTCTCCTAGCTGCAGTATATTGTGTGAAGTGTTTAAGATGCAGAAGGAACTCCAGCTCGGTGTAACTCAGTTGCTTCTTCTTCTTCTCCAGTGCGCAGTCATGCATGTGAGCCGGATCAGTTCGGGAAAGCTGGAGGTTGTTCAGACATCTGTCTTTTGGGAAACAGCCACAAGAGCCGGACGTGTCGCTGTCGCTCCGGCTTCAGCCTCGGCAACGACGGCAAATCCTGCAAAAGTGAGTGACATCACAGCCAGTCGGAATAGAGTTCATCAAAACTGTTTACTCCTGTCTCAAACGACAGCTTAAAGGCACAGATCACCCAACGCTGAAAATTCTGTTATTATTTAGTCACTCTCCACTTTGTCAAACCTTTATAGGTTTCTTTCCAGGGGTGTTAAGAAAAACAGAAATGCTCAAATGTGCTCAAAAAGGAAAATCTTTTAAAACCTGTTTAAAAGACGTCAAGAACATTTCCAAAAACATACCCATGCCAAAATAAATAAGCGTGAAATGTAAGTCTACAATGACAGTAGAAGTGTGTTTCTTCCATTTCAATCTGCTCCTCTTGTCTTTTTTTTCATGGTCGTGTGTTCAGAGGTCACTTGTAAATCACAGATCAATACTAGCTACGCTTCATTGAATATTCAAAGCAATAATCTTGAACTCAATAGAGGGTTCAATTGAATCTACCTTCCTCCGATTCAGCTTGAGTTCGGGTCAAAGCTGTCTAAATGAAATGCGTCAGGGGCGTGATCAGACATTTTAGAATAAGTTTACCTCGGTGGACTTAAAATAGGCTAACATGCATGAGGATGCACATTTCAGCAGATACAAACATGCAGCAGGGGAAATAAGTATTGAACAGGTCACCATTTCTCTCTGAAAACGTTTTCTCTTTTAGGTAAGTCAGGATTATCACATTAGTTTCTGTTCTGCTTAATAGCAGAATAATGAGAGGGAGATTTTTTGAGAAACTGTTATAACTTTTCTTGAAAGTCAAGTTTGCACACAATAAGATTATTCTGCCTCTGAAAATGCTCAGATGATGATGTCGAGGTTTTGAAAGTTTCTGATTGACAACATTTGAGTTAATGTGAGGCACAACTGTAGAATAGTGTTTAAGGAAAAGCTCAAACACACTGCTTCCTTGTGTGACAACATGAGAAAATCAACAAGCCAGAATCAACAACAAAGCCAGATTACCATTAGCTGAATGACACTGGGAAAAGACTCATGTCTGGAGACATGTCCTGTGCTCTGATGGAGCTAAGATTGAACTGTTTGGCCATAATGAGCAGCGTTACATTTGGAGGACAAAGGGGAAAGCGCACAAGCCTAGGAACACCATCCCAACTGTGCAGTATGGGGGTGGCAGCATCATGTTGTGGGGCTGTTTTGCTGCAGGAGGGACTGGTCCACCTCACAGCATAGATGGCATCATGAAGACAGAACATTATGGAGAAATACTGAAGCAACATCTCAAGACATCAGCCAGGACATTAAAACTTGCCCACATATGGGTCTTCCAAACAGACCATGACCCTAAGCACACTGCCAAATTAGTTAAAATGTGCTTTAAAGACAACAGAGTGAATGTTTTGGAGTGGCCATCACAAAGCCCTGATCTCAATCCTGTAGAAAATGTGTGGGCAGAGTTAAAAAAAGCTTGTGCGAGCGAGACAGCCAACAAATCTGACTCAGTTACAGCAATTCTGTTAGGAGGAATGGGCCAAAATTCCTGCAAACTATCGTGAGAAGCTTGTAAAAAGGATGCCCAAAACATTTGACCAAAGTTATACAGTTTAAAAGCAAAACTAAAAAAAATACCAAGGAAATGTGTGTAAACGTTTGACTGTCTAGAAATTAATAAAACACTTTCAAAACAATTCTCTCCTTATTCTGGCATTTAGCAAATGTAAATAATTTAGGTAATCCTAACAGACCTAAAATAGTAAACGTTTAGTCTGATTTACCATCAGACATTTATTAAAAATGATCATAGTCCTTTTTTTAGAGTAAACTTCTGGTTTCAACTGTATCAAATAAGAAATGCCATCAGAAGTTTACAAAATACTACAAAAAAAATGTGTGTATTGATATGTCTGTATCTTTAATCCACATTTCTTTACATTCAATTTCTGGTAACTCTCTAATCCCCAGAGCCTGAGCATGAGTTATTCCTGGTGTATGGGAAAGGGCGTCCGGGTGTCATCCGCGGGATGGACATCAACCCTAAAGTTCAGGATGAGTACATGATCCCCATTGAGAACCTGATGAACCCTCGAGCTCTGGACTTTCATGCTCAGAGTAACTTCATCTACTTCGCCGACGCCACCAGTTACCTGATCGGCCGACAGAAGATCGACGGCACAGAGAGAGACATCATCCTGAAAGAAGGTGCTAAACTGCATTATTTAATAATAATACTGTAAGCAAGAGGGCGATACAGTGGCGCAGTAGGTGGTGCTGTCGCCTCACAGCAAGAAGGTTGCTGGTTTGAGCCTCGGCTCAGTTGGCGTTTCTGTGTGGAGTTTGCATGTTCTCCCTGCATTTGTGTGGGGGGTACCTCCAGGTGCTCCGGTTTCCAGTCCAAAGACATGCGGTGCAGGTGAATTGGGTAGGCTAAATTGTCCATAGTGTATGTATGTGAATGAGTGTGTATGGATGTTTCCCAGAGATGGGTTGCAGCTGGAAGGGCATCCGCTGCGTAAAACATGTGCTGGATAAGTTGGTGGTTCATTCCACTGTGGTCACCACAGATTAATAAAGGGACTAAGCCGACAATAAAATGAATGAATGAATGAATGTCAGAGATAAAGTACATCCAGGAGGTTGTCATCTCAGAATAAAGCCAGACGGGTTTATCGGCAGCTTGACATGAAGTGAAGCACTGTTGTATAAGACTCTGTTGTAAACCGTCATGGATGTACACCATCTTATTGCAGGTGTGTGTTATTGCAGTGGCTTCTGGTGAATTGTCTTATAGTGTGTGTGTGTGTGTGTGTGTCATGTTTCTCCAGGTATTCACACTGTTGAAGGGATCGCTGTGGACTGGATGGCCAACAATCTCTACTGGACGGATGACGGTCCTAAGAAGACTATCAGTGTGGCTCGGCTGGAGAAAGCATCTCAGACTAGGAAGACTCTGATTGAGGGCAAGATGACCCACCCTCGGGCTATAGTGGTGGACCCTCGGCACGGGTAAGCTTCATACAATATCTCCAAAAGCACTCTTCAAGATTGGCCAGCCCAGTCACCAGATATGAACATTATTGAGCATGTCTGGGGTAAGATGAAGGAGGAGGTGTTGAAGATGAACACAAAGAGTCTTGATGAACTCTGGGAGTCCTGCAGGAACGCTTTCTTTGGCATTCCAGATGACTTTATTAATCAGTGATGTGAGTCATGTCAGAGATGTATGGATGCAGTCCTCCAAGCTCATGATGGAGTCAGACACAATATTCATTCTGTCTCCACTGCAGCAGGACTTTATATTCTATACTGGACATTATTTCTGTTCAGTGATGAGACTTTAGTCTGAGCAGAGTCAGACCGCACTGTCCTCATCAAATCAGTCAACATCAAGACATGATCAGATTTAATTGTGCTCAAATATGCAAAATCTAGAGGCCTTCGCCTTTCATATAAGCCACTTCTGACACCAAATGATCAACTAGAAGTCCAGTTATCATTTGTTGTTCCTAAAACTTGGATAGGCGACAAGACTTTTGTCAGGTGGTGGACATACATACTAGGGGTGCAACGGTTCAATCTACTCGTGGTTCGATATGTATCATGGTTTTAGGGTCACGGTTTCAGTATGATACGGTTTGTGCTATGCCTACAGAACAATTAAAAGAATATTCATATTTATTAGCAAACAAACACCTGACAATGCAAGAGCTTCACACATATGACTGTAGATTTGCATGTTCTCGCATTAATTTAATAAAAGTAGGGCATTTAAAAT